CGCTTCCCGCCCGGCCCACCCCCTGGATGGCCCCTTTACCTTGATGCAGTACGGGGGTTCGTCGTAGGTGACCAGCATGTACCTGTCTCCGCGGCTGGCCGGGTCCCGGGCGCGCAGCTGCGGGACGAGGGATGACGGAGGGGGCCGCGAAGGGCAGGGGGGAGGAGGGGGCGATACCAACGTTACAGAAGCACCTAAATCCACCACCACCCCCATCCCTAGGGAACTCTCCCCATCTCTCCCCTCCCCTCCCTTTACCTTCAAGAATAACTCCACAGCGCCTTTGGCAATGTCCAAATAGGAGGTGCCCAGGTCAGTGCGCTGGTTCATAGAGGCGGACGTGTCTATGAGGAACAGCAGGATGGGCATCTTCCCCCGTACCCCTGGCTCCGGTCCCCACTCTCCTGGCCCTCTTGCCCTCACTGCCACGTACTGCCACCCGAACCCTCAACTCTCGCAGAGCCAGGGTGCAGGGAGCACGAGTAAGAGGGGCAGACGGGACGGGACAGATGGAACTGCTCCTGGCCTCCTCTTTCTGCAGCCCCACCTCTTCTCCCTCCAAGGGAACTTGAAAGTGTGAGCGTGTGTAGCCCTCGGGGCCCTCCCCCTTCCTCTCTTCTGCCACCACTACTGCCGCCGCCGCCGCTGCCGCCGCTGCCGCCGCAGGGACTATTGCCCGAGCATCGGTCCAAGCTCACTGAAGCGCTCGCCCCAGACTGAGAGCTGTCTCTGTTCACCAACACACAACTTCTGTCCGCTCACCTACCATGGGCACCATGTGACCAGAACCCACGCCATTGGCTGCCAATTATATGTTATTTGCATATTCATTAGATGACAGGGCAAGGGGAGGGACTTGGGCGAACCCTGGGAGTTGAAGTTTGAGCCCAGGCAGGGGGTAAGGGGAAATGTTAAGGACCCTCCTTTAAAGGACTTGGAAGCTGTTAGGATACGTAGGGTGGTTTGGATGGACTTTTCTCTTGCTCTTCAAAGATGATAATTCGAAAGGAAGAGTGAATTTGAGCAACAGTTGTGCAGAGGTACAGAAACAGATGCTTGGACAGGCTGTACAGAAGACGCTTTGCTAACTGCAATCGATCAATCCTGCCAGTGGCTAAGACCAAAACATTTCAGAAGCAGCAAACTTCTTTCCTGGCAAGACCTACTCGCATTCCTTCAGATCCCTCCCCACGCTTGATCAGTGTTTGTAAGTCGGTCGCTGGCCTTGCATTCCGCGTATATCTACTGAGAAAGGAAACTAAAACTTAAACACAGTTACCTAAATTGGCCTTTTGTGTGCACAAGCTTCTTCAGTTTCATTGAGCACTTTGAAGTATTGCCCTGCCTGTGATAATTCCACCCACTGTTGTGTCTGCACAGCCTTTACACATGGAAGGTTTGCCATCCTGGATTCTGATTCATCTCACATTTATTGAGCACCTATGAATTGTCAGCCACCCACGTTAGTCTCATTTAGTCTTTGAAATAATTGTGGTAGGTGGCATTATGTTCAATTTTCAGTAAAGGAAAGTGCAGCTCAGGGAGATGAGGACAACACTGAGGGATGTTCTCAGGTCTGGCTCTACGGAGAGTCTCAATGAGTGGCCAATCACGCTTGGCTGACTGCTTCATGTAACTCGAATTTTAAATATGGAGGTGTGTATTCCCAGCAGTATGCTGTGCACAGCGTGGAATCCTGAACTTCAGTGAGTTTACAACTTCATTTGATATGTTCCTTGTAATATATATAAAATCCATATTCAATAACATTTTCATAAAAATAAGATTTCATATAGCAATGTATGAATCAGGGACAAACAAGTGATGCAAATAAAAAGTGCAGTGGGGGAATTTCCTGGTGGTCCAGTGGTTAGGAGTCCATGCTCTCACTGCCGAGGGCCCGGGTTCGATCCCTGGTCAGGGAACTAAAACCCCACAAGCCATGTGGTGTGGCCAAAAAAAAAAAAAAATGAAGTGGAAGCAATGGTCCTAAACCCCCAAAAGCCATGTGGTGTGGCCAAAAAAAAAAAAAAATGAAGTGGAAGCAATGGTCCAGTGGTCTCGAAGTTCAGAAGGTTTCCTAGATGAGGCACTTAGCAGGAAGGGAGGGATTCTGGATTGAAAGGAATGGTGGGAACAAAAATTCAGCCAGAGATACTAACATGTATAGCACAATTCAGACACATCTGGGATACAGCTGGTGGGAATTAATGGGGAAATAAGGATGAAAAAGACACATTTGTTATCTCACAGTTGCCATGAGTCAGGGGTCTGGGCATGGTGTAGCTGGATTCTCTGCTTAGTCTCACAAGACCACAATCAAGGTGTCAGCCAGGCTGTTCTCATCTGGAGGCGTGAGTGGGAGAGAATCAGATTCCAAGGTAAAGCTGAATCCTGAATGGATGTTGGCAGAATTCATTTCCTTGTGGCTGTCTGCTTGGTGGAGGCCACCCTCGGGTCCACCTGCACTTACCTCCCTCCCATAGGTTGTTCACAGTGTGACTGTTTGCTTCTTCAGGGCCAGCAGGAAAATCACTCACTGCAGTCTTCTAAGATGGAGCCTTATATGATGTAACCTAATCATGAGAGTGCCATCCGTCACCTTCACCATATTCTATTGACTAAAAGCAAGTCACAGATCTTACCCACACTCACTCAAGGAGAGAAGATTACACAGGACATAACATCACGCAGGGGAGATCATGGGGACCATCTAAGAATTCTGCCTCACATTAGGTGGGGATGAGATTACTACCTGGAAACAAACTTTGCCTCATTCACAGTTTTTGCTGAAGTCAACTCCAAGTCATAATATAGCACTTTCTGCCCAGTGGATCACATGCATGGGGTTGATTGCTTGTTTAGACTATCCTTTGGTGAAGAAATACAAGATTTCCTATTAGGAGCTATATATATACACACACATATATTTATAAACAAACATATATTTATTTATGTAATAAATATAATCAAGATATTTAATTATAAACATATAAATATTTATGTATTATGTATATGATATATTATAAATGTGTATGGACTGTGATATGCCCCAGTTCACAGTGTTTATTTATTTCTTTGTTTATTTCTTTGAAGTAGAGTTGATTTACAATGTTGTGTTAATTTCTGCTGTACAGCAAAGTGACTCAATTATACATACAAATGTTCATTTTCCTATTCTTTTCCATTATGGTTTATTGCAGGATATTGAATATAGTTCCCTGTTCTCTACAGTAGGACCTTGCTGTTTATCCATTCTATGTGTAATAGTTTGCCTCTACTAACCCCAAACTCCCAGTCCATCCCTCTCCCATCCCCCCTCCCCTCCTTGGCAACCACAAGTCTGTTCTCTATGTCTTCACAGACAGTATTTTAAGATGACATTTAAAAATCTTCTTTACAATTTTCCCCTAACTTTTTACAATGAGTATGCTTTGCTTTTATAATCAGGAAAGAGGCTATGTTAAAAATTACAAAGTATCCCAAATACAAATTACAAACTTACCAAAAAACAAAAGAAAAAAACCCTCCAAGGCGAATACTATTGAAACAGTTTTCCAAAAAATGCTAAAGAAGCACAGTCTTAGTCACCCAGTGCTCCAGTGGGACAACAGCCATGTCTTCATTATAAACTACAAAAGTGACAATATACAAAAAATAACCAGGGGGAGGGGTAAATTGGGAGATTGGGATTGACATATACACACTATCATATATAAAATAGATAACTAATAAGAACCTACTGTATAGCACAGGGAACTCAATACTCTATAATGGCCTGTATGGGAAAAGAATCTAAAAAAGAGTAGATATATGTATATGTATGACTGATTCACTTTGTTGCGCACCTGAAACGAACACAGCATGGTAAATCAACTATACCCCAATAAAAAAAATAACCATCTGGTGGATTTACGAGTTTATTCAGATTAAACCAAATTCCAAGCCCTTAGCCTGAAGCTGCTCTTCTTCACTTCCTAGGGGAAAGTAAACCCTGCATTATACTGGGGTAGGTACTTCTATTGCGCTTCTTTGACACACACCAACACTAAGACCCCCAGAGCCCTTTCTACATCTTTCTCTGCTACAGAATATCAGCGCTGCCCCCCTTGTTATAGGTTGACTTGTGCTTTGGCTTTGCTGCTGTTGGAATGTAAACTCCTGGAGAGCAGGCTGAACCTATAACCAATGCCTGGTGCCAAGTACCAGCTCAATCAATTGTTGTTGAAAGGAACAGTTGCATGTGCTGTGGCTGCCCTTCTTTCATCGTCTTCCCAGGTGCCCCTTTCCTCGGGGTGCCCGGCCCTGCCTGTCACCCCACCCCAGCAGCTCCCTGTCCCTGTGGATGCAGGGTCTTTGCGATTTGGGGCCCAGCAGGCCCCTTCAGACCAAGTCCTGGAGCTGACCGCGCCCCCGCCCCCGGGCAGAACCCCTGCAGCTTCCAACTTTCAGGCCCACTTTCGCTGCCACCTCTGGCCAGTTAACAGAATTCTTTTTTCGCCGCAGCTCTATGACCTACACCAATGTCCCTGTCTTCTTTCTGGTTTTCTCCTGCTTTTTTGAACTCCTGAGCTTTTGAAAATAGTTTCCTCTTTTCTCTTCATGTCTCTACTCTTTTTTTTGGCTTTTCTTCCACTCGTAGCCTCTAAATCAATTCACTTTAATACTTCACCATAGCCGCTCATTCCAGGCCTTTCTATTGTACCTCACGTCTGAGGTTACCAGATATCTCTCAGGAAGGAATTCTTATCAAGCACTGCTCTCCTGGCCTTCATTCTGTTCACAACAAATGTTAGCATGCTTTGTGCATGTTTCCATTTCTTATGGCTGGCCTCGGGGCGGTCCACCATCACACAACAGACTCTCTGTTTTGGTGAGGGCTGTTTTGATTTCTCACTCGCCAAAGATTTGTTACCTCTTGCCTTTAAGCAGGCCCTAATCACCGCATCTTGACAAAAAGACCTTACTTAACCTGATCACTACCCCCTCCCAAATTCCAAATTCCACCATCTACTCCCTCCTCAAGGCCATGCAACCTGGTTTCTCTCCCTAGCACTCTTTGGAAACTACTCTGAGGTCCCAGGGGCCAGCTCCTGGCCAAATCCAATGGTCTGTTCTATATTTTCCTTTGTCGACTGTAGAGCCATTTGTCACTTGCCTTTCTGAGCTTCCCCTGCCCCCGCCACCTTGCCTTTCATCACCTGCCACTTGTCCTGGAATCTTCCTTACCCCTTTTGGACTATTTGCTTTCAACTTCTCTGACTTAATCTCTGTCTCAGTCTTTTCCTCCCACTGGTCCCACAAAGGACTGTGTTATTTCCACAATCTTTATTCATTTAGCCATTCTTTCTTTTATTCAAACATTCCTT